ATGGGGAAACTATTTTTAAATTTTAAAAAGTATTGGAGAGTGGAGTTTAGTGAAAAATAAAATAGTAAAACGCGAAATAATAAACATAGTGAGAATGTGGCTGAGTATAAGGAAGACTTTATGCATAGCAAATTAATTAAGTAATCTGAGTAAATGAAAATGTATAAAAATAGAGTTGTGAGAAATCTAAAAGTTAATTTGAAGGAAGTTAAAGAGAACGGGTTTTAAAAACTGATAAATAATTCGAATGTGATGTGTAAATAAAATCTTAATTTGGAAAAGAAAAATTAGAGAAGATGTATTAAAGTGTGTAAGTAAAATAACAACTAAGAACATCATGCATACTTGTGATCAAGAGCAGAGTATAAACGCAAAAAAGCAATTTTGTGTAAGCCTTATAGGTATACATTCATACTTGTATTTAGATTTGCGTATTTTTATTTCCATGGATGTTCAAACAACTCCAGCCGCAGTAAGAATTATGGAATAAAATAAATGGACTCAAGTGGATACAGTTCTCAAAATTGTTGATAGGTGTCATGAAAAATTACATTTAAATATCTTCTTTACTTTGCAAAGATGTATTGTGTAAATTCAAGTTTATTAAACGCTTTACCCGCCAATCAGATTTTTTTCGTTTTGCTGCGCGTTTTGAAATTATTCACCCTAGACCCTTACTGTGATGCTTTCAGTATGCAATGGATTAACTTGAATTGCTGCTTTTCATAAACCGTTTCACCTTCAATGCTTACAATCGAACACCATTCATAGAACTTTGCCGAGCTAAGCAGTGATGAGCTATCTTAGTGATTTGACACTAGACCGAGCCTCGGTTATAGAATTTAATCAGTTTCTGTGCACTCATCTGATAGTTTGTGGCTTTTGTTGAGAGTTCTAGTTCGAGTTTATACTCGCAGTTGTGCTAATCAAGTTGATCAGAATATATGTATGTATGTATTTAGGTGTGAATTAGTTGAAGTTAAAGTGTTTTCCTTATTAAAAAAAATTAATATATATATATATTTAATTAAGGTTTTTTTTAAATATTGTTGAGTGGTTTTAACGATTACTAATAATTTTTATTAATTATGTATATAATTTGTATTATATTATTTGCCACATGTTTATGAATTCAGAAATCAAAATAAAATCAAAATTGTTTCTGAAGTTTCATGAGTTATAAGTTAGCGAAATATGATATTTTGTACTGAATGAATTTTGGTAGTCAGTGATTCGATACTTCATAAAAACGCTAAGTTTAGAAGTTTTTCGCAGTAACTAATTGAATTAAAAAAGTGGTTTCTCAATGCAATATCTGTCATGTGTTTACAAAAATATTTCCAGCTAGTGGGGCAAAAACAGTGAGTTGGATTCATGCGGACAACGAAGGCGTCCAGAAAAAATATTTTTATTTATGCGGCGTGAAATTGGCACTGTTAAACCGAAAAGCTATTTTTTACACCAAAAGTAATGGCTTTAATTTACGTGCGTATAAGTGCGGTTATACAAATGGCAGGCTTACGCTAACCTGATATATTATATATGCTTTTTTATAATTATTGCAGATTTATGCACCACCCTTAAAGAAAATATTTGAGTTTCAAGTGTGGTGTTCAAGTTCAGGTAATTTTAACCTTCAGACACACTGAGGGGTAAGACACCGAATGCAATGTTAATTTTTGACAAACGTTTTCTTTATGTCATTCAAAAGTAACATTACTATTTTATAACCGTAACGTTTGAAAAAGTTCAAAAGACCATGTAATTAAATTTTTTTTTTGATATATATAAGGTGCTTATAACATAAAGAAAAAGCTCGAGCTGAGTTTTTCAAAAGCAAATTTTGATTTGAGTTGCAATTTTCTCTACTGTGCCGTTCATGGATCTTAAAATTGGTGTGTCCTCCGAAGGTTAATGTTCAAGAAATCAAGAATCAATGTTATTAGCCCTAATTAATAAATAGGAAGCTTTTAATTTTGCAATAGTACAGTTAATCGCATATTGCTCGAGGTGCAATGCCATCTGTTAATAAAGGAAAATACAACTAGTGGGAGCAAGTGCAGTTCCTAACTTTTTGATAAAAATGCTGACTATTAACTGTGAAAAATTTGAGGCTTTCAAAGATTTCCTGCTGGGTTTTTATAATATAAACACACGTAGGCTTATGGGTAATGCTGTGCTTCTGCATCTGTTTTATGCAAGCAAACCACCTACAAATACAGTCACATTGTAAAGCAATTATGTATATGGTGCATATGTATTAGTGCAACTTACATACGAACAAAACGAAAATTTTGCTTTCGACTACTTTAAAACATTGTCACATGTAAGAACATTCATGAACATATGCATACACATGTGTGTGCGTTCACAAGTATGCGAGTACAGATAGCCTCCTTTATTTGTGAACTTAACCGAACTGAGTCATGAAAATGAGTTGAAATCAGAAAGTAATGAAAACATTTGATGTGCATTGTCACGCTGGGTACACAAATACGTGGGCATATATACGTACATATGTATGTATGTATTTGAATGTGCTTTGTAAAAAAATTGTGTGGTTGTACATGTATTGTTGTTAATTCCATTTATCGCTTGTAGATTTTTCAACGCGTACTTTATGCAGTTACTACTGTTTCTCCCACATTATCCTTGTCACTGTGAAAACTTTTTATACTTTGTGTATACCTTATGTACTCAAGCCTACAAGCGCATGTTGTCGTTATATGGTGCTCTTCTCTTATGATAGAATTAGTGAGAAACGAAATTTGTCCAAAGTTATGCCCATATTGACATCGTAGAAATCAATTGATGTCTTTTGTTGTCGTTGCTCTATTTGTACTCTATTTGGTTTTGCACACATCTAGCTTTTCAGTTACAATTTTTCATAATGTAGAAGATCAAAAATAAAATCGAACTATATTAAAAAGTCTACCTATTTATAAATAATTGTGTTCGACGGTGCGTTGTAAGAGAGCAATCAGCTGACTCAGTTCTGCGCGAAAATTCCAATTTTTGCGAATATCCCATGTTATGGACGGCAGGATGGGATGGAGAAGCGGAATGGGATGGTAGAACCGGTGGTGAGTGTTCATTTACATTGCGCTCTCAAAAGATAGAGCGTATCGGCTGATAAGGCGTACGGTTTTGTGTCGGTAACTAACTGAGGCATTGTCCTAATATACGGAATATTCAAGCATACCTTACTGTTCTCTTTATAACAATTAAATATAGGACAGCTGTTCTGCTACAATATTAAATTTTTAAGTTATATTAATACTGATTTTTATATATGAAATACAAACTCGTATATCAAAAAAATTTGTAATAATTTAATTTAAATTAAAAACTTGCGATTTTCATTAGGAAATTAGTTTTTAGTTGAATTAAGTTAGCAGAAGTGATTTAGTGAGTAATTATGCACCTACCTGAGCTAAATTTACATTCATTGTTTAACCTACTCAGTAGTTGGTAAATTTCTCCAATTATATGCGTGGAAGTATTTTTTAATCAAATGACATGCAAATGTCGTATCTAAGCTCTAACAGAAAAAAAACAACCAATTTTATTAATATGGTATTAATGAGATTAAGGGATTAAAAAATCGTCGATTTCTGGGAATTAAAAAATTTACGTACTGATCGATTGTTTTGAAATTTTCAGGATATATAATATCTACACATGTTTTAAGAATACATATTGAAGTTTTTGATAAAAAGAATTGACTATTTTCTGAATAATAAGATATCTCCAACCGATGCAAAAAATAAAAAATTTACAAAATTTCAACATATAAAAAAAAGTTTAATTTTACTCGAAATTTTGGCCCGCCAAAATTCGATTTTTGATTAAATCCATCGGTCACGTTTTTACATAACATTGCCTTCTTACTTTATAATAATTTAGTAATTTTCATATCACCATGGAGCTTAATGTTGTTTGCTTCTAAATTTATTAATTTTTATTTTATTTTTTAATCCAGTATTTGTGATTACAAAAAAAAAAAAAAGTTTTACTAATTAAATTCAATTGCAACCCTGCTGCTGAGTATAAAGTAACCATTGATTAGTTTTTGAAAGTGAGTAAGATAGTACAAAACCGATTATGAATTTCACACATTTTTTTAAGATTTAAAAGCAGCAAAATGTTACTTATTTTAGTTCTTATTCTCTGGTTAGTTCACTATAGTCCAAAAGTCCGAAAGAACATAATTAATTAAAGTATATCTTTTAAGCGCTTTGCGTAATATTTTTTTTTATTAACTTATTATCAGAGAAAAAAGTTGCACGAAGGGATCAAGGGTTATAAAATTTTCTCAATTAAAATTTGTGTACATTCGCCTTTTGGCAAGCTTAATGGCTTTTGCACACACTACCTTATTCAACGTTGCGGTTATGAAGCTTTGTACCAAACAATTTAAAAGCTGTTCATTCACTAGCTTTTAAGTGAAACTTATTGTTAAGGTGGTAATTACCACTTAAGTACTCTTAAGAGTTTGTAAAGGATTTATTGTTTTATGATTGTTATTTAAACTCTCAGAAAGTTGAATGTGGTCAATTGCAAAATGATGTGGTGTGGATTGTGGTTTTAGACTCAAAATCTCGCAAAGTATGAAAGTCACTATTAAGTATGTATGGACTAAATTAATTGCGCTAGAGTGATTGAATATCAGTGAATACAGTCAGTTGAAAGAAAGTCAGTGAATATGTGCTGGTGAATGTTTGAAACGGAATGTTTGTTTGTAATTTGATATAAATGCCCAATATCAAATTATCAAATTCTTTGATTCGGTTTCGTAATTTTGCTTTACACAAATGCTTTCAACTTTTTTCATTTTGGAAATATCGAAAAATTGATATACTCCAACTCAAATAGTAAAGTGCGGTTTGCCTACAAATCTCAAGTGCACTTTCCTTCTAAAGTGATTGTTATTTGTGTAATTGCGATTTGTACTATATGCATGTAAATTTATTTTTACTTTTTCTCTTTTCATCTTTCAGAAATTGATGTGTAATTTTCCTGCTTAACTAACCATTTGCAGTAAAAAAAGGTAAGTTATAAAATATAAGATATTCTCTTTATGAAATAAAATTATATTTTTGCTTTGAAAATTCCTTTACTTACTAAAGGTAGCACAGTTATTATATATATCAGATGAAAGAAAACTTGGCAAAGTTCAAAAAAAAAATTTACTTTGACTTAAAACCCTATTTCTATTCTATTTCCTAAGTTCTGCTGTTGTTAATAGCAACAATTAATCTCCTTGTTAATATTTTATTATATATTATTATCCACCGCCTGATGGATATAAATAATAATAATAAACTTAACTAATGACGTGATGTATTGATTATGGTGATTCAGCTTATGTGTGTCTCATGTATTCAAAATCGTTGCTATATTTTCATTTATTTTGGAAGCATGTGTTCCTAACCTAAAAAATAGTCAGCTCACATTTAAAAATTCAAAATCTTATATTTAATTCCTATTGTAAGCTACTATATCCTAGTTTTGTTAGATAGACAACGTGCTCAACTATCCAACAAATGAATAATAAAGCTAACAAGCGTAAATTTGGTTCCGAGCTCTTTCAGCTCCTTTTTAATTGTCAATGTTCGACATACTACAAGTATGTTCGAACTAACTATGTTTTGTCACCTACATTTTTCTACTATTGAATTTCCTCCGTATTTCAATAGCTTTTATGTTGCTATATATCTGTATACAAGTATATGTTAGTTACGTGTGCGTGCCAATAAAAAGCAGCTAGGCGTGAGGAAATTTTAAAAGAAAAGTCAATGGCAAAAAATTCAGCAACAAGTTTTGTTGCAACATGACACCTACGAGGATTTGTATCATTGTCGGATTCAAATACCGATACTAAAATACCAGCGGACACATAGTGTGCAGAACCAGTGAGAGAGCAAACTTTTCTAGTTACAAAAAAAATAGCTTCAACAATTTCAATATGTACAGATGCGTGCGTGACTGAAATTTTACTTAGATTTGAAAATGAGGTATGCACTGCGATCTATCTATCTATTGTGTCCTGAAAATATTCACCACTTATATTCATATTACCATATGTTCTCCATTGAAGTGAGCCAAAAGAAAAAGTCTCTATTTTATACTTGTGAGAGTAGAAAGTTCATGGAAATACTTATTCACACAAAGTTTTAGCAAAGATCTCTAACTTTTCTGAAAATAAAATATAGCCTACTTGTATGTTAGCCGGATATAGTGTTTTTTTCCAACGGTGAGATAATTTTTCAATACCCTCAAGTAGTTTCGGAGCCAATTCTATTCAAACAAACAAACACTCATATCTTTCCTCTTTATAATATTAGTATAGACAACTTATGAGCTATTAGTATACCATACACAATAAAATTATTAATTCTTCAAAACTGAGTTTTTCAACGCTATCACAGTATTAATCGTACATTTTATGAGTTCACAACTGTTACCTTTCAAGCATAATTTCCTAGAAATCTAAGACAATAATTTTTAAGGTTAGGGGAAGTTTTGACTCAATTCGACCTGTTTTTGGCACAACGACACACTAATATTTGAAAAAGATTTTTTTTTGAATTTTAATATGTAATATATCTCCAAGACTGTCGGTATCTGGTGAATTGAAAAGTTATGGTACTCTGTGTACACTTTTTTATTGCGATATCTTTTTTGGTACTACATTTCTACACTTAAAATTTAAAGAATCATATTGAATTTAAAATTGTGATATTTGGGAAGTAGGCGTGAGTCCCATTACATACATTTTCACAATATGAATACTAATGTCAAAATAGTATAACGTATAAAATTTAGGAAAATCTGTCTATTAGTTCCTGAGGTCTTCACTTAGAGGTGGCCGGCATCCTTTGCATAATTTTGATATTTGGTTGTGTAAATCTTGCTCGTACTGTCTTGGGTGTAAATTATAATGTCTCTGCCATGTTTAGTTAGTTAGTTATCGCACTGTTAGTAGTTTTCAACAAAACCGTTATGTGTCGAAAATATTTGTCCTGTACGAATTTGATGAACATAACTTGAAGGGCTTCATTATCAGATATATTCATTGGGATATCTTAATTTTTACAGATAAAACAATTTTTTCCGGACGGACAGACAGTCACCCGGTTTTCAACTCGTCTGATCGTCGTGATCATTTATATATTATATGTATGTACCTATATAATTTGATATATATCTCGATTTGCTTTAGGCGATATCAATAACCGTTAGGTGAACAAATCTACGCTGTAGCAACAAGTTAAGAGAGTTTAATAAATCTTATCTTACTTTATGATATGTAATGTTATAATCATATGGATTTCTGTGTATTGTATATGGCACTTCATTCCGACTCCTGTCACTGCATTTAAGAAATGTTCTTTTCTCTAATTGTTTCATATTGGTAAATTGTAAATTACTACATGACATGCACGACTATAAACAAATAACAAATAACTCTTGCCACTGCACAAAGCAATATTTTCAAGTTTTGTAAGCTGACATGAATGAAATTTCATAATTAAATTGAGAGCACGGAGAAAAAATTATTTGGAAAACCAACGATTACTTGTTTGTGCGTTTTTCATGCAGTTATAGCATACTCTCTATTAGTCTCTCATTTGTGTAAAATTTCTTATTACTAGGTAAAAATGAATAACTAATATATGGAGGACAACACTGTACAACAAAATAATTATATTTATCTATATGGTAGAAAAAGTCGTATATAAATAGATGTTAGCATATGTTTATTAATTCATATTTCTATTATTTTAACAAAACAAAACAGAACTTATCTTTCTAATGTCTCCACTTACTGCGCTTTACGGAAAGCTGCTTTGCAATTGACAAATAAATATATTCTTGCACACTGCTTTCCCTAAAATTTTTGGTTTGCTTGTTTGTTTCTGGTTTATCATTGTCTTTTGTTCTATTCTCCTTGTATGGCCATTTTGCTTGTCAACAGAAAACGGAAGTTAAGCGACGGAAGTAACATGCTGCGTTCGCTTCGAGAACAACTTTATTATTTCATATATAACATCGTAGCTCTACTTGCCAAGGACAGGTATTTTATGGCGAGAGAGTATATCGCTTATGTTAAAACTACACTGCAACTTAATTTTTTAGTTTCTAGCAATGCAAAATGTGGGAGCTCATAGACAAGTGCGATGTCTAGCTAAAGGTGTTTGCGTTTTTGCTGGCAGCGCTGCTACACAACTCTCGCACTTAATTATAAGAGAAATAAGATTTTTATTTTGTTTATTATAGAGAGTACGTATTTTGAAATTTAATTAAATGCTTCTTTGTAACGTTGGAAAGAGTATATACGCATAGTTTGACGCTACTGAATACAGATTTCATAATATTATATTTTACCTTGAATGACTTTAGAATTAACTATTGAGCTTCTTCTTATTCTTACAAAAGAAAGATGCAAGGAAATTGCCCACTAACCCCAAATACGTAGGTTGCCTTTTATATTTCGGGATTGAGCAACCCTAGTATTGCAATATGGCAACTCACAGCTTTGTCGTAAAGTTTGACATTTTTGATGTTATACTTACTCAGAACGTTTTGACATACGAGTGCTATTTGCATTGTTTACAGTAACTTAAATATTCACTTCGGTTTTTTCAACATTCGACGTGGATTTACTCAGCAACAGTGCATCGATGAACTTAATTCAATTTTTTGCAAGGAAGCTGCCTCAAAGACCGCTGTTTTTTGTTGTTATGGTGAATTCAAATCAAGGTGGTAGATTACTGCAAGAGACGGATTTCGTGAGGGTGGTACAAAATCAGTTGTTCTTCCGGAGGCTATTGATGCTGTGCACAAACTTATATTGCAAGATCGTTATGGGACCTATCGTGAGATAGAAACAACTATAGGTATTAGTGGGACCAGCATACCAATACTGCATGAAAATTTTTCTATTAAAACAATTGTTTCACGTTGGATCCTACACAATTTGTTAATCGCTCAAAAAAAGCCTCGTGTCGATTGGTCGAGAGAAATGTAATAACTCAATCAGAGCGGCAAATGTGCTTTGACAAATATTAACCTGATGCAAAAGTGTATAGATGTTTATGGAGAATATTTGAAAAATAAAGCGGTTATAATAATAGATATAAAATAAAATCAATAGCTAAGAAGTAGGTCTTTTAAAATATTTTAGTAAAGCTTTTAGGACTGAATTTATTTCAATATACTCGTCAGCAAATTATACAATTTTCCAAGTTATAGTCTATATTTAATTTTCCGTTCTAAAAGCAGTTCCTAGTGATTTTTCTATAAAAGCATTCCATTAAAAGTTATTCACAGAATTTATAAATCAAATTGAGTATTATTTTCTGTAGATAAATTTTGTGTTAAGTATTATTTTCAAAGTTTTTGATTTATTTGCTGATGATAAAATGTAATATAAAAGATCAAAAACCAAGCTAAATATATGGGAAAAGTAAAATGATTTGGAACGGTTTAATTGAAAATCAACAGTTATTTACGTTTATATTTTTATGGCAAAATTCCAACTTCAGAATGCGCCTGCAAAAACAAAGAGCTCAGGAAATAATCGACGACTTCCTACATTTATGTTTGATAATTATATATTTTTACGATTTTCTTCAACCTTCTTACTTGCTTCTGTAAGTCTTGAGTATTCATCCTTCCTTAATTAACTCACTCTGAGTAGACTCAGGTTTTAAAAAATAATCTGAAAGTCACAGTTTGCTTTATTCCAGCGTTCGCTTTTACATTTGCGTTTTCAGCGTCAGTTAACTTTAGGCAAAAATGGTGAAACATTCAGTGCCATGGAAATAAAATAAATAAAGAAAGTGACATTGAGGTCAATATGTGTGCATCCATTTGTAAAAAGTGTTTCATTGAAAGTGTAAATTAGCTCAGTAATGGAACAAGAAGCAGAAAAACTATAGAAAATACCGCATCCAACAAATTGGCAAAAATTAAAAACTGCTGAGTGTTTTTGGCTTTCACTTTTTGTATTCTGAATTGGTAAGTCTAAAGAGTATAATAGTT